CAAGAGTCATCTTTCCATAAATTTAATAACAAAACACTCCTGCATAAAAAAAACCTATGTACGGCAAACTACATATTATGAAACACAAATAATTATATAAGACAGAAATTAATTTTTATTAAGATTAATAAATCAAAATTTTAATTTAAAAAATAACAGTCACTGAAGAAAGTATTAAAGTATTTAAAAAAACCTCAAGTTTATATCAACTTAACTTGTATTCAAAACAAAACTTAAAAAAAATAACTTTTAAAACATTTTGCATAAACATTTATTATTAGTTATTTGAGCATCTTATCCTCACAAAGTTTGGTTCTCATACTTCCAAGTTATTATTTCTAAGAAGTTGTGTTTTCAGAATTCATTCAAGCAACCAAACTTTCATAGCAATATTAACAAAATTAAATTATTTACATTTTGAAATAAATTTATATTTTAAATAAGTTTTTCTAATGAATCACAATCAAGACTATATTTGTTTGATTTTTCTTCTTTTTTTTCATTTTAATTTTCTCTTATTACAAGTTAGTAGTTTAACAATTAGCATTTAACTCAATGTGCTAAGTGAATAATCACCTAGCATATTGGCACTGATTTAAAGTTTATATAGAACTGATTTAAAGTAATAAAAATTATTCCTCTACTAAGAAAATTACAAAAATACACTTAAATATAATTAATGAAAGTTAATATACTGCAAATTGAAAGCAAGTATTTAGTGACATGAGTTGCAAGTAATTTGAAACGTTAAAATAAAACAAAAATCTAATAATCTTAAATATTAATTTCATCAAAAAAATATTAATTTTATAAAAAAGTAGTTCTAAGATGTACTAAGATTAAAAAGAAGGAAACTGATTATTAATTACAGCTTACAACAGCAGTTTAGTTGAAATATGAATAAATGAATAAACTATAATAACATGTTAATTAGTTTAACGTAATAAGAATTATTCTCGTTCAAAATGATTTTTTGTTATTAAAAATCATATAAATTTAAAGAAAATATCTAATGAATTTATAGAATATGTCTCTTATGAATTAACTTTAAATTAGTTTAATATAGCATAACACACTAATGTAAGATTAGACAGAGCTTTAATTCTTATAAAAAATATTACAAATCAATATTTAAATTTAAAAAATAATTCAATTAAAGAAAATATATATTTTACGAACTTCATAAAAGTTTCAAGTTATTAAAATAAAAGGTTAAATTAATTTGTAATTGGTGCCAATAGCAGTAGATAATACCGATAGAATATATGTAGCTAGCTTAATATTATCTTGAATCCATTCTGTCCACGCTGCAGTAGGCAATACTTTAGCAGCATTAACCTTAATGAAATTCAGCGCAAAAGATTTCAAATTCTTGCAATCAATCATATCAGCGATTGCAATAATTTCACACACATTTTCAATTGATATAATGGGTATCAAAAATGAAGCACACATATCCACAAGCGACGGCACTTGGTATTTATCGGCAGTTAATATTAGACTCTTTGCAATATCGTAATCCAATTTATCCGCTTTATCCGTATACAAAAACTCAAGAAACGCTTTCAAAGTCTTTCCATCCATGTCAGCCATATCCACTACACCAGTTTTGTTTTCCAACATGTCTTGATCAAACATGGCGGCAAACACTGGTGATCGAACTTTCAAAACAAACTTATGAGCAGGAAATTCATCATTTTCGCAACGAATTGTAACATCAGAGTAATTTTTGTTCAGAAAAATATTTCGAAAGTTATTTTGCATGGCAGAGATTGGAATATCTCTGCTTATGGATTTCAGGCTACAAGGTGACACAAATTTTAATCTTTCGATAGAACTTGTATGAGTTTTCCTGGAAATACAAACATCGCACTTCAACTTGAACTCATACCGAGAGGAATTCGTTTCACAACATCTCAACATTTCCTTTGTTATAAAATCTGGAAAAGTCCAAGTTTCTCCCCTTTTACACACTTTCCCAGAACGCTTTGAACCCAGCTTGCATCCTATTATATCGAAGAGAGATAACGTGCATGTTAATTGTTGAGATGATTCAGACTCATCATCTTTAAAGTGAATCAAAATTTTCATCTTTTCTTCTGTAGAATTCAAAGTTAATTCAACACTATTTGAATCTGAGATTGGAAAAGTTAGGCTTTCAGAATACTCAAATAGAGAAGGCATTTCGATATACCATTCCACACAGCCACGATCTACTTCGAAGGTAGTAGAGGCTACTGATTCAAAAAACTTTTTTTTGCGTTGAGTATCAGTATTTATTTGGCATCGAAGTGTTAATACATCCTCGGTCCAATTGTTCATTTCCTTCTCCAATTCATCGATAGCAAAAAAAGTTATCCAACCCCACGAATTTGACTGTTTACTAAATGTGGTAACATCATCGTCAAGATCTAAAATATTATCTTTTTCATCGTCATGGTCAAAATCTAAAATATTATCTTTTTCATCTACAATATCTAAGCTGAAAGAAATTGAAACTGAGTCCACAGTTTCAACTAACGGTTTCCACTGTAAAAAGGAGGATACGAATCTTTCATCATCTCCCACGCTTCTGCTACCCTTAGGATAAAATGACAAACTCCACTGACTATTAGGTATAGTCTCTATAGTAAAGCATGGGCTCACAATTTCTTCACCTTTAGCTAGGTAGCAGGATGAATAGTTTTTAATCCTCCAAACGAATACATACACATCCATCTCTTCAATCGACATCCAACACATAAATTAAGAATTTCGAAATGAGGTAACGAATAACACTACAGCAAAAGGGAATTTTCCCTTCTTTCGAACAGCGCATTGTTGACTCGCATGACACAGATAACCTTGACGTTTTTTTTTCCTTTACGCAGATCACACGAAGATTAAGTGAAGGTTAAGGGTCTTCGTGTTTTTCAATTTTTTTCTTGTGCGTTCAATTACATAAATAAAATATATCCAAATATTAACGGAAATAAAATATATTTCGCAGATAAACGAGATAATTATTTTCTAAAAATACTAATCACGGAAATGAAACATATCATGATTCTTTTTTTAAAAAATAACAAATGATTGAAAAATACATATAAGCTATTGCTTACGGAAAGCAATATCAACATGAATTTTTGTTCGATGAAATATTATTCAGATTAAAGAACACAAAAATGTTGATAGTTTTCATGACAACTATCAATATTTACTCTTATCAATCATATCAGAAGAAACTGTAATTTTCTGCATTTTCGAGTATTATCTTTGCTAACTTGCACAAATATTCCTGCATTTCTGCCTTTCATTAATACAAAATTTTCTAAATCAGTTTGCCATCGGTAGCTCAAAGACGCGCACTTAGGATATTATTTTAAATCTAGATAGATTTCAAAATAAAAATAAAAAAGGTTAATATGTCTTTTTCCTTTTTTGGTCTTTTTTATTGCTATTGATAACATAAAATATATGTATTTGCTTTTAATGACAGGCTCGCTATAGCGTCGATTTCACTAACTTACAATTTGTCGTAATAACGGACTCTTACTGTATCTTTAAAGCATATTGACTAAGTGAACGGTGTTAAATACTTTAAGATTGGAACAAACGACCAAAAAGGTTAAATTAAATTGTATTTTGCTTAGACTATAAGAGATTCAAACGAAAAAAAGAATTATTTGTCTAATCAATAAATCATATTTGATTTAATTTAATATTTACCGCGTAAATTATTTAACATAAATTATTAAAGAGATCTTTATTTACTAATGAACAAAGTGTTCTGAACGTAGAAGTGGAATGTAAGAAGACAGCGCATTGTAAGATAATTTTTCCCCAAAATAAAGCCACGTGACTAGAGGGTGAAATTTTCTATCTCCGGTTCTTTCTTGTTACTTTTAGGTAGAAAATCGATGTTGGAATTTTAAAGTCGAAAATATACAAATATGGTGAATCGCTGTGATGTATTTGGGCCTTTATTAAAACCTAATAAAATAGGAGGACCTTGTAAATTTCATAGAAAAGTTAATTTATCACTTTTTGAAATTGCAAAATTATAATTGTTTTTATTTATTATATAAATGAATTTTCCACTTTTAGTGACTCTCTTTTTTAAAAAAAAACAATATGTGAATTCCGGTTATTCTAATTTTATTCACTGGAAAGGGAACCATAAAGTAATAATTAAATAAAATTATTAAATTTCTTAAAAAAAATTTAGTGCTATAACTGTTGTTGGCGAAGTTTTGACATTATTGTTTCATGCCGTTTTTGTTATATTCGAAATAAAAAAATCTTCTATATATTTTGATAATTTCAGTAGCTCGTTTTGGGATAGTTTCGTTCATAACACACATTTTCTCACAGAGAAGCGTGGTTATGAAATGTTAAAACAAAACAAATCTATAAATAGAGTGGAGATTTTTAGAATTTCATTATTAGTTCTTAGGGCGTTGGACTCGTGTTTGTGAGAACGAGAGCTCGAATCCAGCCGGCCAAAGAATCCGCATGAATTAAATGGTGATTGGTGCTCGTTAAATCTGCTGGAGTCACGAAGTCCTCCAAGTTCCCATAACAAACCAAAACCTCTGGGGGTACTGAGTCAGGAGTTCCCTTGTCTTCTGGATTGGGTTCAACATTACAAGGCTACGGAGTTAAACATTGGTAGTTGTGAACTCAAAATTTTGTGTCAGTAGTTCAACGACGGCTATATATAAAATAAAATAATACACAAAAGAGCCGTAGTAATTCAGGAGATAAAGCGCTCACCTCCCAACGAGGTGTCCCGGGTATGAAATCCCAGAGATGGCTAGTAATTACGAATTTCGAACCAGACCACAATGCTGACGTAAAATATGCTCAGTGGTAGACGGATCATGGGTTAGAGTCGACCGTCAGGCTAACCGTAGGAGGTTTTCGTGGTTTCCCTCTCCATGTAACGCAAATGTGGGCTAATTCCATCAAAATGTTCGATGTAAAAATAAATTTCTCCCTATGCTTGGTTCAGGAATTCACTTTTGTTCTAAATTGGGCTGAAAATTACAATACTCTGGAGTTGAACATTGTTAGCCGTTAACTCAAAATTTGTTCGGTTGTCCAACGACAGTTTTAAAATAAAATAATGCATGAAAAAAAATCGACAATGCAATCAGCAGATTAAAATTACTTAATCTTGTCATAGCAGCTGTAACATTTAAATAAAATTGGTAAATTAAAAAGAAAGGGGAAATTTTTTTTTAGTCTAATGTAGCATTTTTTTCGACTTTTTGAAATGTCTTTTATCCTTTCTTGTAAATGTTTTGAAAAGTTCAGAATACTTGTTAAGATTTTATGATTTTAAAAATGATTTCACAATTTTTTTTACTGTTGTTTGCTATGCTAAATTGCAATTTAACGAGCTTTTTACTACCAACATCTTACAAAAATGAATGTCAAAATGTGATACCTACTTTATAACAGCTGTTCTTAAATTTTTTCACCTACGGAACTCTATATGCTCAAACTTCGTTTGATGGAAGCCTTTCTTTTAAATAAAGTTTATCAGCAGGTGCGAATATTCTAATCCAAAATATTTAGAAATATTTAGAATGAAGAATAAATATTTCTCATCAGTTCATCAACAATTAAAATAATATATGTTTTCCTAGTAAAGAAATCGAATTTTTTTTAACAAATATTCCCACACTAAGACAAAAACAATGATCAAAACTACCAGAATATGGTAACATTTACGGTGTTTCTGGCTCTATGGGAACACAAAAAAGTTAGATAATTTTTTGGTAATGATTTTGGAAAAATTAACAATGAAATGTGGTTTTATAAAACGTGATAAAATTTGGTATATTTCGTAAAGATTGGATAATTTTACCATGATTTCTTAAAGCATGGTATTAAAAACACTTAATCGATTAAATTTACTTTTCTGTTTTCTACTTTTTTGTTAAATGTATGGTAACAAGAACTATTATTTTGAAAACCAGAATTTCCCTCAAACCGTTACTGTGACATTAAGTCACAGCCTAATTTCTAAATATCCCGTTTTATTAATCAAAATACTAATTTTTCGGCTTAATTCATATTTTTAGATACAGTTTTTATTGTCTT